CACATGGGTTAACACAAGTGCTCTACCACTGGGCTACAAGGCCACCCTTGACCCTATGTTCTCTTACAGCAGTTCCAAGGTTTCTGGTCTAATTCATAAGCCTTTGATCCACTTTGATTTGACTTGTGCAGGGTAAGAGATAAGGATCTAATTTCATCATTCCACATATGAATATCTAGTTTTCCCAGCACCATTTTTAACAATACAATTGTGTCACTTACTTGTGATTGCATCACTCAGCACTCAGATGCCTGCCTGTTCTTGATCATAATCAGAACTAAAGGCGTGCCTCTCCTATCCCCTGGAGGGCTGGCACCCAGTATTCCCTCTGAGCTCCAGTGGCCTGGCTGCTGCTTCCCTGACTGGGAGAGAGAAGCTAAGTGTCTTCAGAGCACCACAGGATGCTCACTCAGTAGCCTGTCTTCTTACATCAGCTGTGCCTCACTTTTAGTGGTAGAAGGTCCCGTCTCCCCCGCCCCACCCCACCTTTTTGTTAGGAATTTTCTTTTGTTGTCACTGGGCTTAGGGAGAGTAGGTGCCTCATCACAGTTTGCTTTCATTCTACTTGTCTCTGTGGGTCTGTCTCTCTGGAAGAACATGCTCTTTTAGAGGAGAGTCTGCTCCCGGTCTACCTTTGCCATTAGACAGGTGGCTAGCCAGTTCTGTGAGTTGGTCTGAGTCTTTCATGGTGGTATTTTAATTTTCATAGTGGGTATCTTTTATTTGAAAATGACTAACCCTGTGTTTGATAATCTTGTACTTGATAGTCTTCTACTTCTAAATGAATGGTTTTCAATTAGTTTCCTTCCTTGTATTTTGGCTTCTTGATTTCCTTTTGTTCCTTTCATGTTTTTTTCATTTTTCAATTCTTCATGAACTCCTTGGAATTTTTGAAACTGTCACCCACCTTCAAACACTATTTAAAATATCCTGAAACATCCTTGTGTCAAAACCTATTCTTCCAAATTCCTTGGTTAAGTGCTTTCATTGCAGCTGCCTCTCTGCTATGAGCTTAGTCAGTTGATTGACATCTTTGGTTTTCTTGCCCATCAGCTTGTCCTTGGTTTCGCTTTTCTCCCAATCTTCTTAGGTTTCATAGGCCCTCATTCACTTTCTCTTGCTCTTGCCCTAGCCAATGCTTATCAAACCTGGTCAAGGGATATCTCAGGGTTGAAGTCAAACACTGGGAGCAGATGGTGTTACCTAGCAAGAGCTGTGGAATGAGAATAGAGGGGTGCTCAGCCCAGAAATTACAGAGAAGAGTTATGTGTCCAGGCAGCAGAAAAAGGAAGCTGGTGAAGGAAGCTGGGAGAAAAATCAGAGAAGAAGAAATGTTGCTGCATAGAGGTCAAATAAATTATGAAGAGTGATTTAACTATTAGGTCGTTTCTTATCACTGCCAGGGCCCATTGAGTTGGCTGACAGGTGCAAAGTCAAATTAGTGGTCCAAGGAGTGAATGAGTGATGAAAATCTGTAAGTGCAGGCTATTTGTTGAGCTTGGATGTAAAGAGACATTAAGATATCTGCTAGAATCATCAAGGTTCTCAGGTCTCCCAAGGACTCTGCCCGTTCCTGCCTCAGCATCTAAGAATTAGTCTCTCAGTTTTACAACATCACCAGGCTGTGAGCTTTGCTGAGAGTTTTAGCTTGGGCTTGCCAGGAACTTCAAAGGCCAGTTAATCTCCCCTTGCTGCTTGTTTCTATATATTTCTCTATAACTCCCATTTATTCTTTCACATGATTTATATACCTCCACGCCCTTCATTCTCCATATACAACTCTGATTTAATAAACTTTATTTCATGGTACTGAGAAAATAGAAGCCAGCCAAAGACCTGATGTTTCTGCTTCTACCACCAATCTACCCATCTGTAACCAAACTCAGATATTCCGTTTCCTTCTCTTCCTCCTCCTCCTTTTTGCTATGGATAACTTTTTATATCACTCCCTCAACTTTGCACATTACTTTAGCAGTTCCTCTTTTGTCTTGGTTGATGTTGTTTTTCTCTACTGGCATATTCATTCCACCTTCTATATCTTTTGTAAAAAGCCTCTTGACTGCACATTCCCCTTCACATCTGTTTCTTCCTTCCTAATGACTCTCTGAAAGAACTATCTACTTGCCTCGCCATTTCTAACTCCTCTGAACCCACTACAGTCCAGGGTTGGCCTCCATTACTATAGAAAAACAACTCTTGTCAAGGTCACCAGTAGCCTCCATGGTGCTAAACCCAGTTGTCAATCCTCAGTCCTCATCTTACTTGGTGGGTCAGCAACATTTGACACTGTTGTTGATAATTCCCTTTTCCTTCATGTGGCTCTTTCAGTGCCTAGTCCTGTTGACCCCTCTACCCCCCATGCTTTTCTGTCAGCTTTTGCAGATTCCTCCTAAATGTTTGAGAGCTCCAGGGGCTCTGTTTCCAGACTTCTTTTCCTAGGTTGGAAATCTTTATCTAGTCTCAGGACTTGAAATACTATCTGCTGATTTTTTTTTTTTAAGTTTCTAACCTGGTTCCTTCCCCTGCACAGTATAGATTATTATATTTTTATATCCAACTGCTCATTCAGCCTTTCTATTTGAGTGAATATATGTATTTCAGATTTAGCAGTGCTTGTTTCACCCCAGAACTCCTCTTGTGATCTTTCCTGACTCAGTTTTTCCAGTTTCTCGGGCTGAGAACCTTGTGTTCATTCCTGCAAGTCCTTCCAGGTCTGCTTTCAGAACATACCTAGGACTTGATTGCTTCTTAACACCTCCACTGTATAGGTCTTTGCTTTTGGATTTCTGTGGCAAATTCTTATGTGGTCTCTTGCTTCTGTCCTCGCCCTCTTCTCGCTTATTTTCTATGTAACAACTAGAGCATCTACGTCTACATTATGTACATCTCATCACATCAACTCTCTGCTGAGAATCTTACTGTAGATTCCCATGTCATTCAGGTTCAGGACCAACACAGTAGTTACCATGTCTAGGAAGCACAAATTCCTACAAAGGTCTGTGTGAACTGGGCCTCCATTACTCTCTGACCTCATCTCTTAGTTCTCTCCCCTCATTGTTTGAACACACAGGAGCCACTGGTGCCGGAGACCCTTGGCATTGCTGTTTTCTCTGCCTCACTCACTTCCCCCTGGGTGTCTGCATGACTTACCGTGTCTTCTCTTTCAACTCTCTCCTCACATGTCACCTTCTTGGTGAGGCATGCTCCTACTGCTGCAGGCACTGTCTGTTCCCCCAAGTCTATAAGGATTGTCATCTGACACACTGCAATTTAACTCTTTATCATTTACTTTGTTATTTCTCCCACTGGATTGTGAGCTTCATGAGGACATCAGCTTTGTTCACTGCTGTGTCCCCAGTTCTTAAATGAATACTTGACATATAGTGAATACACAATAAATTTCTGTTGATGGAAGGAATTTTAGTCAGCCTCTCAGAAATATCAATTCTTTTAATATCAACTGTCAAATATCAACTCATCGCACTGACTTTAACCATATAATTTACTTTTTCTCTGCTCAGTTACTCTTCTTTCCATTCTTCTTTAAGCCCTACTCTGACTTCTGTTACATTGTAGAACATTTCCCCCTTATCCTCAGTTCCTTCCTAGAAGACCCCTCTGTTTACATTTCTTTACCAACAACTGGTTTTCCTTATGACACATGTCCTGTATTCTGAGGATTACTAGGAGGAGGTGGTGTCTCTGTTAATGCTCTCCTAAGTAGCTGGTGTTCCAAATAGGTCCTCGGACTGTGCAGGTGCTCGTGAATGCTCTCATTTGTTCAAGGTCCATTTTGTATTCTGTCAGTTTTCCATATGTATTTGGAGAACTCTGACCCATGGTTTATAGTCTTCATTTTTGAGGTGTAATTTTCTAGATGGTGTCATTGATCATAGTGAAACCAGAGTTTTGAGATGAAACTCAATTTTCTTCTTCCACTAGCAGGTGAGATGGAGTTTTTTTGGATGAGGTCTGCCTCAGGTGCAGGTCTCTGCAGCCAGGAAGTGTTGCAGCTCTCAGTGGTGGGCCATGCCTTCCAGTGTTACAGCAGTAGGCCCCAGGCACTCACCATCAGTTCCTAATTCTTCTATTGGTCCAAATTTATGTTAATTAGGGTTTGGAAATGTACTTAAGCTATTGGTCGAAATTTTGCTAATTAGGGATCAGAAACATAGTAACACTATTGGCCAATACTTTTTTGTGAGTGTGGTGCTGCGGATTGAACCCAGGGCCTTTTATATGCAAGGCAAGCACTCTACCAACTGAGCTATATCCCTAGCCCCCAATATTGTTGAATTCTTGAGTCCCAACTTTCATTCAAGTCTGTCCCACTTTCATTTTTTTTTGTGCCAGGTCAGGAAACTGGAGGTTGAGGTTGTGGAATGGGGCTTCAGAGCTTA